CGCGCGTGTGTGTGTGTGAGAGAAAGAGAGAGAGAGAGTGCGTGCGTGCGTGCGTGCGTGCGTGTCTGTGTGAGAGTGCGTGTGCGCATGCGCGTGCGCGTGTGCGTGTGTGTGTGTTTGTGTGTAGCTGCTTGTGCTAATCCTGACAAGTGCCTGTCTTCCAGCACTAGCCCACTGAGATACTGACTCCGAACCGACCAATCCTTGTTCTCGGAGGCGATCTGTTTTCTCGAGAAAAGGTTTACTTTTTTCACTGACCGGTTGTGTTTAATCTAACCTGAAACATTGTCAGGTTGAGCGGTATATATAAGCACTATTGTGTTTCAAAATCTCCATATTTCATGCCCTCTTCAATCGCGAACGCTTTTACAAATAAAGTAGGTGTGTTAATATAACGATGTCGTAACATTGTTGTGTTTGTTGCTTAACTCACTATTCCTGCAATATGACGGCAGACTGTAAATAACCTATACCAGACAAAGCAGTGATTGATGTCATGAGCAAGGTCCGGCGGTGTCGGGGACGATGACATGCAATCAACCAAATCAAGGACCTAGACCATCCGATTCACTGAGTCGCCTCTTACAACCAGCATGTGTTACCGGGGACCATTTCTAACCCGAATCGAGGTGATGTCGCAACACGTTCATGATGCCGAAACAGGTTCGTGATGTCGTAACACGTTTGTGATGTCGTAACACGTTTGTGATGCCATAACACGTTTGTGATGTCGTAACACGTTTGTGATGTCGTAACACGTTTGTGATGTCGTAACATGTTTGTGATGTCGCAACACGTTTGTGATGTCGTAACATGTTTGTGATGTCGCAACACGTTTGTGATGTCATAACATGTTTGTGATGTCGTAACACGTTTGTGATGCCATAACACGTTTGTGATGTCGTAACACGTCTCAGATGTCGTAACACGTTTGTGATGTCGTAACACGTTTGTGATGTCGTAACACGTTTGTGATGTCGTAACACGTCTCAGATGTCGTAACACGTTTGTGATGTCGTAACACGTTTGTGATGTCGTAACACGTTTGTGATGTCGTTACACGTTAGATGACGTAACACGTCTCAGATGTCGTAACACGTTTGTGATGTCGTTACACGTTTGTGATGACGTAACACGTCTCAGATGTCGTAACACGTCTCAGATGTCATTACACGTCTGTGATGTCGTAACACGTCTCAGAAGTCGTAACACGTCTCAGATGTCGTAACACCTAAGTTGGTGATGTATCAGGTTTGAGATGTCGTAACATGTCTGAGATGACTAAACATGTCTGTGATGTCGTAACACGTTTGAGATGTTGTGACACGTCTCAGATGTCGTAACACTTAAATTTGTGATGTATCAGGTTTGAGATGTCGTAACACCTCTAACATGACGTAACACGCTTGTGATGTCGCAACACGTTTGTGATGCAACACGTTTGAGATGTTGTGACACGTCTGCGATGTCGTAACACGTTTAAGAACTCGTAACACGACTGAGATTAACACGTTTGTGATGTAACAGATTTGTGATGTCATAACACGTCTCAGATGTCGTAACACGTAAGTTCTGATGTATCACGTTTGAGATGTCGTAACACGTTTATGATGTCATAATACGTCTGAGATGCCGTAACAGGTATGTGATGTCGTAATAGTGAAACATTTCCCCTAACAAACACAATATCTGTACTCGGTCTTACAGTCCCTGAATTATATTATTTTCCCTTCCTCTCGTCCTTACTGTAAATGTACATACCCAAATGATGCAAGTCTAGACTTTCCACAGGTTCTGAATCTCCCATCTCATTGGGTGAGTGAGTGAGTTGGGTTTAACGCGGCTTTTAACAGTATTCCAGTTATATCACGGCGTGTCAGCTTAATGTGGGAGGAAAGCCCGAAGTGATGGCGGTCTCAGACCTTTACCACTTCGGTGAAACCCACGAGCACGGGTATGGTGCTGACAAACCTAGAAACATAATCAGGGCGAACCGGGATTCGAACCCGCAATTATAGGTTTCTGGTGTACCCAAGGGACGCAACTCTGCACAGCGAATCGCGGCGCGTTAGACGACTGGGCCACCCGTCGTCTTTTCCACAAACTAGGATAGAAATTCTGTGTTGACGATCCAAACAATGGCGTACATGGCAACAGTGATCGAAAGCAAGACCAAGTTGTTTTTCAAATACTCTTTTTTTGCGAGGTGAAGCAAAGAGAGTTTTTTCACTTAACAACATTACTTTACCATGTAGAAAAATCAATCTTATTCCAACAGCCTTTGAAATAACCAAACATTTTCTCCTGAGGTTTGATTACCAGGGCTGTCTATTCTTTGCATTTCAGTCGACTCTTTGGACAGCTATATGTATGGAGAAGAACCTCTGACCTCGGTATGTCAAGGAAATCCCGTTCTACCATCCCGTCATTCCCTCGTTATAACGCGGATGGATTTACGACTGAGAGAAGGGAGGGATTAAAAATAAGCCACAATCCACAAAAAAAAAATCTTTCTCAAAACACCAATTGATTTTTTTGTTACCGTATATCTGTTTTCGACGTTAAGTCTAACTTTATATCGTTGTTTCAAATTTATTATAATAGTAAACGGTTGTTGAGGCAAGAACACTCCATGCACGTGCCGAGCACTTCTGGGAAAGACGCGAGAACCATGGCCACGACACCTAGGAAACAGTTTACTAGCAAGAAAAAATATTTTAATCTCCTCGCTTTAAATTTAGAACCTAGAAATATCAATTTAAATTTCAAATGTGCCAGTACACCGGAGACTGATGAGAAAAGGCGATAGGCAATTTATCTAAGGTGAATATTTATTGAGAAGCGTTTTTTTTGCTGTTGCTTCTAAAGACATCTCTCATTTTTAAACCCATATTTCTTTAAGTCAACAGGAACCTGAAATGAATAGATCCTGTTCACTGAAAGACGGAAGACCCCTGATCTTATAATTCGGTATGGAAACAAAGCGTCCCTTAGTTCAATCACTGTCAAGCGTTCGAAAACAGTTCTATGAATAACAAGAAACAATCTAAGGGGGGTAACTCTAAAGTGTTATACCTCGACATGATATTCTCTCGTGCTTTCGTATTTTGTTTCATGTTCGAATCCAAATTTAGAAATATGCCACATTTTTGTCTTTTAATAACAGGTCTTTGTAATATTTGTGTTACATAGCAAATTGTAACAAAACTCAGCATTGAAAGCTTTGAAAAAATATAACATACGAAACACTTTGTCTGGTATATTGTAGATTTATTGATATAAAAATAAATGTCAATATCATTGTAAAACAAGTTTATAATTGTAAACCATTGACTGGGAGACATATTTGAGGAGTGGGGAAATTGTATACATACAATTTTTAACCGTCATGTTATATTTTCAAAATGACAATTAACCAACAGAGGATGTGAAATCACAAAAACACAAATGCATTGATTGTGAAGCGTTTTTTTATCTAACCTTTGCGGAAAGGCTTTAAGAAATCAAATCCATAAATCAATAAATAAAAATTGACTCAAAATATTCCAAAACCGAAACGATAGGTTGGAACCTCGCTTATACCATTTCGAAAGGACATGTATTGCCATTTGGGACTAAAAATCACCCAGACTCATCTTCATCTGGGTATCAAATTGAATAAGTAGCTGTTAAAAAAATCAGCGTTAAAACCTACATGTACCTGAATACACTCAAAAACCAGCACTGTAGCTCACCTGTAGCTCACCTGACGTATATATTCAAAGAAATAACTGCGGCAAAGGAAGCTGAATTTAGATACCCCAAAGCCGACAGAAAACAAAAACAAATTCAAAGCAATGTGGGAGGAAAGAAAAGATTACCATTTTATTGAGAAGAAATATAAAGAGGGAGGTGGACTAGTTATATTTTCTCAACTTAAATCAAACAAGCAAGCCGTGTCATCCACATTAGCCTTTTGGATACATAAACATAACACATTTGCCTGCCTTAGGTGCAACACATGATCCTGGGTGAGTGAGTGAGTTAAAATTTATAGTCAAATAAGCAGTATTCGTGACTCACATACCCCTGGAGCCACTCAAATGTCATGTACCGTATTCGACGTAATAAGAGCCCCGCTCTAATAAGCGCCCACGGCGATATTTGCTAATATATAGGCTAGTGAGCAATCTCAATTAGCACCCCTTCCGATTGATCAATGTACACAAGACTTATTTATTCGTGTATAATAGGCACTCGTGTGTCATATGCACAATTAATTATGGGCAATTAAATCCTGGAAAAATATATCTGTCATATATAAACATTTCAGGCTGTCAGCATAAACCACAAAATTTACGAACTTTTTTCACCAAAATAATATTCCAATAAGAGCCTCTTATTTCTAATTTTGAGAGCACCCTGGGCGCTTATTACGTCGAATACAGTATGTGTGTGTAGGAAGGCGAGCACCAAGTGGGTGGGATCTGAGGTTACACTTACACTGACACGGAAACTGGTCATAGGAGTGTTCTGGGATTGTTCCAGCTTGGCAGGAGGGTGCAACAAAGAATAGCCAAATTTACGTTGTGTTCATTGTAATCCCTGCATTCTGATTAGCTGAATTGGTCACGTGTTATTGCATTCATTTCCTAATAATGTAAAAAATTCAACCATGGCCACTGAGGCTACTTTTATTACTATGAATGGCAGGAATCTCAATATTACAGTCGAGGGGGGAATTCCCTTTCTGCTCACGTGTATCGTCATGCGCAGGACACTTAGCGAAAGTCATGCATATTCATTGTCCGAACTACCCTTTGAGACCTAAGTCCGAGAAGGAATGAAACAGAAAATGTGCAGGCTGGCTCGCCAGTTTTTTTCTGCTTCCCAGGTTTCCGAAAATGTCATGTCTTTGGGTTTCATTTCTAACCAGCATTTTTCCAACTGTGTCTTCCCGTTCTCAGGGAACTAATGTTTGAACCTGGCTGTAACTGACCATGTCATTTGAAACAGCCGCCTTTTCCCGGACATATTTGTTCCGGTCCGTTACAGTCTGACTGTTGCAGTTCTTCTCGCCTTTTGCCTTGATTGACAGGTCCAATGAACTTTGTTTTGATGCTGTTCTCCATTGATTGTCTTTCGACTGTGTGGACTTTGTGTGCAAACTGTATCCGTCTTAAAGTGCTAGTCTCCAATATACTACACTGTATTTTAGCATGGATACCCCACTCAGAAACAGTATGCAGACTCTGATTTGACTAGTCTATATCCCCTTAATGCCAAGCACCAGGCAGGGTAACAACAAGTACCATATTTTAACGTCCACTCTGTCTTGGCAGACACTCAATCCACTAGACCACAGAGGCTTCCTTCCACTTGAAGCTGTGAAGGTACTCTAACAGAACTTTGTTGAGGACATCAAAAAACTGTTTTATTCTGTGATGGGAGACTTGTGATTATGATAGCGAGTCAATTTATGATTTACAAAGTCCTCGATGTGCTGACACAATCATTTTCCTTTTTCTACTTCTGCTGTCTCAAGCTAAGGACTCAATTTTAGTGGTTGTCTGCCTGGTTCTATGTTTTTCACGGAACTACTTTCATGGACAAGGAAATCCACAGACAAACAACTTGAGCTGAAGACTAGGACAGTGAATGGCAAAAACTGTTTTTCAAATGGAATGGAAAATCATACACCATCTTTCCGAGGCAAGTTCATGAACTAACTCTAAAAGTCCAGTTTCCACCCTTGTCGTACTAGGCTGAAATTTCTAGACTCGCTCATAGCGCCACCAGTAGCTATTACGAGTTATGTCCCTTCTATGTCCCTCCTATTGACCAATCAGATTCCACCTCTCATATCACTTACATTTGCTTGAAACAAAATGGCTTCGCCCAGTCAAGACGATCTTATCGATAATCAAAATGTATACTGTAATTAAATGGGTCTTACTTCGAGAAATGCATCAAATCACGTGAGCATCTTCATTAAAATCATGAAATGTTTTGGAAAATATCTGTTGACGCCAAGTTGGCAGTATAATATGCCTTTCAAATCCTGCAAGCAGCTGAAATCTGTATGGCAGTTTACAAACCTGATGTTAATTTACACGATTTTGATTTGCCTCAGCATAGACTCGTTAGTCCAGCCAAAATATAACTCCATCATGCCAACCTAGTTGGAGTGTGAGGGGTGGAAAGTAGGCTTTTATAGTCAGTTATCTCCCTTGCCTAGGAAAGGTGATTATACACTGTGAAGCGGCCATAAAATTTTTGAGTCCCGTGATGGGATTCAAACCACAGACCTTCTGATCAGGGGTTGACGCCTTGTCCACATGACCTAAGAGGTTAACCCCGTCAGCAAGCTGACAAGGTAAGGATGTCGTCTGTGGGATGACTCCACGCCCGGCTACAATTGCTGCCAAAATGTGTCTGAGATGGTTCTTACAAACAACGACGGACAATCAGACAAATATCTCACTTGTACTGTTGGTGCAGGTGAGCTAATATATAAAACACGTGACTTTACTAGTAAAAATGTCCTGATATGTGTACCGATATTTGTCCCGATATGTGACCTAAATCTCTAAGTCCTAAAGTCCTCATGGTGGGATCAATCATCAACTATCGTAAGGGGGAAGGCCAAAGTCCTCCGGTTTGAATTCTTCCAAGGAGGTCAGGATTTGGTGAGCTGTGTCCTTGAATGGAGTTTGGTCAGCTCGAGGGTCCGGCACCCAGACGACCTGCATCCCGGCGGCGTGGGCAGCGATCAGACCGTTAGCAGCATCCTCAAATACAAGGCACTAGAACGACATATGACAAGAGTGTGAGAGTGAGTGAGTGCCAGTACAAGATTATTTCATTTATATAAGAACGTGCATGCATTTGTGTGACACTGCTTGAACTAGATCCACGCAATCAACCAAATCCCCAAGCCTGACGCCCAGACCCCTTGTTGAGTGAGTGAGTTTGGTTTTAACATCACTAGGAACAGTTTTTGTAAAGCTTTGGTTGGTTGGTTTGTTGTTTAAGGCCGCACACAGCAATATTCCAGCTATATGACGGCGGTCTGTAAATAATCGAGTCTGAACCAGACAATCCAGTGATAAATATCATGAGCATCGATCCACGCTAATTGGGATCGATGACATGTATCAACCAAGTCAGCGAGCCTGACCACCCGATCCCGTTAGTCGCCTTTTACGACAAGCTTAGTCACCTTTTACGGCAAGCATGGGATGCTGAAGACCTATTCTACCCCGGAATCTTCACAAGTCAACTTGTAAAGCAAGCAACCAAATATCCAAAATCATTCTACCAGCTTTTCCACTTTGTAAACAGTATTAACCAGTGTCTTAACAATAAGAAAGGTTTTCCAACCATCCATGGTTCAGCATGAAAGAGGAACAAAGCAATTACCATACACTATTTTCTTTAGTATTGTGCACACCCAAGTATAATGCGTACCCCCATCTAGCGGTTTTTTGGACATATACGTATTTCGAAAAAATTTACACTATACCCCTTCGAAAGCGAATTCCCAGGTGATAAGAAAATTGGTCAGTACAAATTTGAAATTTGAGATAAAAAATCACCAGACATGTTAATTTACCGTTTGTTTTTTGTTTTTTAAAAAAGTGTGCACTATACTGAAGAAAATACGGTATGTACTATTCACCTTCTCTGGGGCTGGGCTGCCGCTGAACCTTTTGGCGGCGATGATGAAACAGTCTGGCGCTGGTTTACCATTCTTGACCTCAGGGTCATCACTGCTTAACACGATGTGGCTGAAGAGACTGAAAAACTGCTTGTGATTGGTCACTTTCAGCTCGTAGTTGTAGCCAGTAGATCCTGTTGCCACGGCAATTGGAATGTTGTGTTTGTGAAGATGTCGCACTAGTCTCTCGGCACCTGAGAATTGTATTAAGACGTCTTACCATAATGAACATTGATCTTCAGTCATGCGGAATACAAATTACGCAGAGGGGAATGTCCCAGTAACTCTCCATGCTCATGATATCAATCACTGGATTGTCTGGTCCAGATCGATTATTTACAGACAGCCGTCATATAGCTGGAATATTGCTGAGTGCGGCGTTAAACAACAAACCAAACCACCAAAATCATTCCTTAAACAAATGGCAAGACCTACATAAAATACATCCCTACTTCTACACTTTGACAAAACATTCTTTTGTGAAAAATAATTGAAAAATAAACCAGTACTTTTTGTAGACTGTATTTATGCTGTGTGAGTCGCTCTTGCCTGATGCCCCATAAATGACCCTACCTTAATGACCAATGCCACCCCATAAATGCCCCTTCCTAAATGACCAATGCCACCCCATAAATGACCCTATCTAAATGATCAATGCCACCCCATAAATGACCCTACCTAAATGACCACTGTCACCCAATAAATGACCCTACCTAAATGACTAATGCCACCCCATAAATGACCCTACCTAAATGACCACTGCCACCCAATAAATGACCCTACCTAGTTTTACCAATGCCACCCCATAAATGACCCTACCTAAATGACCACTGCCACCCAATAAATGACCCTACCTAAATGACCACTGCCACCCAATAAATGACCCTACCTAAATGACCACTGTCACCCAATAAATGACCCTACCTAAATGACTAAATGACCACTGCCACCCAATAAATGACCGTACCTAGTTTTACCAATGCCACCCCATAAATGACCCTACCTAAATGACCACTGCCACCCAATAAATGACCCTACCTAAATGACCACTGTCACCCCATAAATGACCCTACCTAAATGACTAATGCCACCCCATAAATGACCCTACCTAAATGACCAATGCCACCCAAAAAACGACCCTACCTAAATGACCAATGCCACCCATAAATGACCCTTCCTAAATGACCACTGTCACCCAATAAATAATCCTACCTAAATGACCAATGCCACCCCATAAATGACCCTACCTAAATGACCACTGCCACCCAAAAAATGACCCTACCTAAATGACCACTGCCACCCATCAATGACCCTACCTAAATGACCAATGCCACCCCATAAATGACCCTACCTAAATGACCACTGCCACCCCATAAATGACCCTACCTAAATGACCACTGTCACCCAATATATGACCCTACCTAAATGACCAATGCCACCCCATAAATGACCCTACATAAATGATCAATGCAACCCAAAAAATGGCCCTACCTAAATGACCACTACCACCCCGATAAATGACCCTACCTAAATGACCACTGTCTCCACATAAATGGCCCTACCTAAATGACCACTGCCACCCCATAAATGACCCTACCTAAATGACCAATGCCACGCCCTAAAATGACCCTACCTAAATGACCAATGCCACCCCATAAATGATCCTTCCTAAATGACCAATGCCACCCCATAAATGACCCTACCTAAATGATCAATTCAACCACATAAATGACCCTACCTAAATAATCAATTCAACCCCATAAATGACCCTACCTAAATGATCAATTCAACCACATAAATTGCCCTACCCAATGACCAATGCAATTCCCTAAATGACTTAACCTCAATGACCACTGAAACCCCTTTTATGACCCAGCTAAAATGACCAGTACCAATCCTTAAAAACCCTTCCTAAGTGACCAGTGTCACCCTCAGTATAACCCTTAAATGACTTTCACAAATTGACGTCCTTCCCCATCCCCCCTCCTTCCCCATCCCCCCTACCGTCCAAGCTTCTCACCTGGGAGAAAGTCCACCGTGGGAAACACCTTTTCATGTTCTTTGCCCAGCTTCTGATTCAGCTCACTCACAGTCAATGGCAGTTGTAGCTCATCTACAACACAGCATCAGATCAATGCATCAACAGGGCCTGTAGTTCACCTGAATGTAAAGTGTCAGATAAATACATCAACGGGGTCCTATAGCTCACCTGAATGAAAGGTGGCTGTCAGATATATACATCAACAGGACACCATAGCTCACCTGAATGAAAGGTGGCTGTCAGATTTATGCATCAACAGGGCCTGTAGCTCACCTGAATATTAGGTGTCAGATAAATACATCAACAGGGCCTGTAGCTCACCTGAATGTAAGGTACCTGATAAATGCATCAACAGGGCTCCATAGCTCACCTTAATGAAAGTTTACTGTCAGATAAATACATCAACAGGGCCCAATAGCTTATCTGAATGTTAGGTGCCTGTCAGATAAATACATTAACATGGCTCTGTTGCATACCCCTTACCCAAAGATGTGAAACTTTACCATTGACAGATGTCCTGAGAGACAGATGCCAAGCTTTTCAATACTCACCAATCATTAACTGAGCGCTCTCATTCTGTTTCCGACCCATCTGCTTTGATTTTATCTCCCATGTGAATACTTTGCCGTATTCGTCCAGGACATTTTGAGTGGCCACGGTGTACAGGCGCTCTGTATCTGGAACACAAGTACAAGTCATGTGATGATGGTAGATGCGTAGTGATGGTTTGCTCGATAACTACGCCCTGTAAATAATCGAGGCAAGAAGAAGCACTGAAATGTCCTAACAAATTTTTTGTTTGTTTGTTGGTTGTTTAACGCCGCACTCAGCAATATTCCAGCTATATGAAGGCGGTCTGTAAAATAATCGAGTCTGGACCAGACAATCCAGTGATTAATATCATGAGCATCGATCCAAGCAATTGGGATACGATGACATGCATTAACCAAGTCAGCGAGCCTGACCACCCGATCCCGTTAGTCGCCTTTTACGACAAGCATAGTCACCTTTTACGGCAAGCACGGGTTGCTGAAGACCTATTCTACCCCAGAATCTTCACGGGTCTCCTTACAAATAAGGAAGAAGTTGTTCTTCATAAAAGTGTCATGTCTTCAACCAACCAGTGCTTGATATTATGAGCAATGTTCAATGGTGGTTGATAGGGGTATGATGCCGTTAATCCACCAAGTCACCGAGCCTGACCGTCAGATCCTTTAGCCACCTCTTACAACATTTGGTTGTTTGTTTGTTGTTTAACGCCACACTCAGCAATATTCCAGCTATATGATAGTGGTCTGTAAATAATCAAGTCTGAACCAGACAATCCAGTGACTGACATCATGAGCATCGATCTACACTATTGGGATACGATGACATGCATCAACCAAGTCAGCGTGCCTGACCACCCGATCCCGTTAGTCGCCTCTTACGACAAGCATAGGTTGCTGGTGACACACAATCAACCATGTCACAGAGCCTGACCACCTGAACCATACGACTACTTGTAGTAGCAGTAGTAGTAGTAGTAGTAGTTGTACGTCGTAGTAGAAGTGGAAGCTGTAGTTGTTAACAAGTCATCATCATGCCTTTGTTTAATTATTTAACGTGTATTTCATGCTAAATATGAAGCTGCGTATCTGCGTAAAATACGCATCAGAAATGCAGAAATACGCAGTAAAATATAATCAAAGCGTATCAAATACGCAACGAACATTACAGATACGCTACAAAAATAAAACTTGTGCGTATCATCAAAATATTGTGAAGTAACCCTGCATATTCCATCAGCAAATCAGCAACTTATTTTGAAATTATAAACGGGCATTCCATCAACCTTGCCAAACTCCACGATGACAGTTACATCATGATCATTTGCCATCACACTTTCTTGTGAAAGTATCGTGGTATTTTAGAGTCCTATAAGCTCTCGAACCCACACGACACCAGTTTGCAGGGGTCGACTAGATGAAGAGTGCTTTTAAATATTTAACTAAAATACCCACATGTGTAAAAATAGTGGGTAACAGAAATTTGAATACCCAGATAGAATTACTGATACCCAATGATTTTAAAATGCATGGGTAAAATACCCACAACACCAAAAGCTTATCTGGAGCTCTGTGAAGTGATGAAATCCCGTCATTTCTTGCACCAGGACATTTCCTACCAGTATATCAACAAGTGATGATTAGAAATATCAGCCTTCACGATAAATAAATAATAATTCACTGACTCTATCTGCCAAAAATCTACGATCAGCGTAGCGTGTCAATGTACCACTACAAAATATGTTCACTGTGCTGCGATGCAGATACTATTGGTCTATTTCTGCCTCGCGGCACATTGAACTCTCTGAGATAGTGAGATACACTGTCACTGACCTAACTGTATTTACAAAGATCAAATTCACGACACATTCACCGTACCTAATAACAATCCATCCATGTCGAATATAACGTGTGTGACCGGCTTGAATGCTGTTGACATGATGACAATCTCAAGTTTTTACTAAGTCAACACTTCTGTGCAGCATGCGGTTTACTGTAGAAGTAATTTAGAGTTGTCTGTCCTTGACATAGTTCAGGAGCAAGCTCCTTCCCAACGCGTGACACCTTCGTTACGCTCTCGCTGTGAGGAGCTTGAGTCCAGGAGCTCCGCGAATGGGCTATATTGCTGTGAGGAGTTTGAATTATATGCCGAAAGCTCCCGTAAAATTTTCCGTACGTCATCTTTTCATGTGGGATGTCTTGACAAACTTGTCACCGAGTGCTAAACCATTTTGCGTATTTATTTATATTTAGACGTATAGTTTATGTCCCCACGTCACACGTTTTCGAGCCTCATCCAAAACTGCTTGAAAGTTTTTTAAATATCTATCCGTGACATTGATTGCCAAAGTCGTGTATTACTATGAAAGCACACACATTTATACATGTTGCGGTAAAATGACCCTTTCCAAGACCGACACATTGATGCTGGGACCTCCTCCGTGGTCTAGTGGTAGAGCGTCCGCCCGGAGAGCGGAAGGTCCGGGGTTCGATCCCCGGCCGCGTCATACCAAAAGACTTGTTGTTACCCTGCCTGCGCTCAGCACAAGGGGCTAAAACAAGGACTGGTCGGCTCGGAGTCAGTATACTGTGTCTGAGTGGGGTATTCATGTTAAACTGCGGCATGGTATCTCAGTGAGCTAGCACTATAAATCGGCATCAGTCCGGACTAGTACAAGCAGCCACACACACACGCACGTGCATGCACGTCGCTATATAAGTGCAATAATCTTGGACGCGACGTTATACCCAATTTCACCTCACATTGAGTTTTTTCAGTCATTAAAAGAGGTCGATGCATGTCATCGTATCCCAATTGCGTGGATCGATGCTCATGATATCAATCACTGGATTGTCTGATCCAGACTCGATTATTTACAGACTGCCGTCATATAGCTGGAATATTGCTGAGTGCGGCGTTAAACAACAAACCAGCCAACTTTAAAAGAGCTTGGTAAGCTGTGACAGGAGAGAATGTTTGTCATCGTACCCCGTGCGTGCGTGCGTGCGTGCGTGCGTGCGTGCGTGCGTGTGTGCGTGTCGATTCTCCCAGAATGTCAAATGGCCGGTCCCAACATATCCCGTAGACACTCAACTATCACGCCCCCATCCATGTTGAAATGTCATCACGATGACTTTCTACACCTGAAATCGACAACATTGTCATACGACATTGTTATTTAGTTCATAGTTGGTGTGCAGATTTCCGGGAAGAAAAATCAAAGCAGCTCTTGTAGTTAATATTAATCGGTTGAAAACATGTTTTGATCCAGAAAAGGTCACATCTAAGGGGGAGCTCAAAAGGATTAAGAAATAATTGGTAATATAGAAATTATTACACTCACATGTGTGTCATACTGAGTTTATGAAACTTGTGTAAGAATTCATGTATTACCCTCGCTCAGCGAAGTGGTAAATGTCTGAGACCTGCATCACTTCGGGCTTTCCTCCCACATTAAGCTGACACACCGTGATATAACTGGAATACTGTTAAAAGCGGCGTTAAACCCAACTCACTCACTCACTCTAAATATGAGAGAACATGCAATATACATGGCTCACATATAAACCCTACGCGACATAATGGAAACAATCGCAATCCACAACCACGTGCCAATTTAGTGTAGTGTATAAAATAATAGAATGAACTAATATGGGGGGCTTAATTGATAATTAGTTTCCGAAAACGTGAAATGTCTCACGGTCAAGATTATATAATAAATGTGTATTTTATAGAATATAATACATATTTGGTTCCTATATTGTATAGAATATTTAATAGTGTTTTATCAACGGTTAATGCCGTAATAGTTGGACTGCACCTGTAATTTTCCGGTGTTTATATAAGGGGATGGTGAAGAACCTTGTAATTATCGTGGGTTTAGTCCCGTCAGTTGTTTGGCATATGACAATGTAATTTAAGAATTTAAAGAAGAGTGGAGGACAGCAGTGGAATTAACGAACAGCAAACGTGGGACAGGTGGCAATAAATTAAGAACTTACTGCACCTTTAAAGATAATTACAGTGTTGTAGCATATGTACGCAAAGCCTTCCTAGAACTCTACGAAGCGCCCTGTCAAGGTTTAGATGTGGTTTAGCACCGCTTAGAGTTAAGACCGGACGCTACCCCTATACACCTCTTGCGGGGACAACCTGCCCGTTTTGTATGGATGAAATAGAAGATGAAAGGCATGTTTTATTACATTGTCCACACTATGAAGATCTTAGATTTTGTCTTATATCCAAATGTCGTTCGTATGTTCTGATGTTGATAGTTTCAGTGATTTACGGAAAGTAGCTTGTATACTGTCCAGCCCAGAATTGATTTTTACAACTGCCAAGACCTGCAAGAATATTTTAACAACCGGATAGGTTGCTCTACACCATGTAGTATCATAGATTATTGTCTTTTGTGAATACCCTGGTACAGTCATTTGTATCGTGTGTAATATATGTGAAAATGCATACATTTTTTACCAATGTTATATAGTCTCTCATAACTCCGTAGGAAGTGGCACGTTACTTTATATGCTGTTTTTACTAGGATATTTTTAAAGAGTTTATTTGCAATGTATTATAAATGTAACGAGGTGAGACCCAAATAAATTATCTGTCTGTCTGTAAAAAGCATCTCATCTTCTGCATCATTCTTATAATTAAACGGACTACTTCTGCAAGTGGCTTATTTCAATATCGGCCTGTATCTACGTGTGTATGGGGCTACTCAACGTGGAAACATAGACAGGCCTCTCCTGTGGAATATTATACGTTAAATGTAGTGCTCAGCTCCAAAATCTATCTTAAATGTGCGATTAAGCCGGAGCTTATTTACGGAAGCCTTTTAGGGCCATTTGGGTTTTTTAGGGTTTTTCGATACTATATAGAAATTTCAAGATACTAAGTTGAAATTGCAAGAAACTAAGTTGAAATTGCAAGATACTATCTTGAAATTTCAACTTCTATATCTTGACATTTCAACTTAATATCTTGAAATTTCAACTTCTGTATCTTGACATTTCAATTTCTGTATCTTGAAATTTCAACTTAGTATCGAAAATAATTAAAAAACACATGGCCCTAAAAGGCTTCCGTACTTATTGCCTCCCTAGTCTAGAAATGAAGTTGTCAAATTTAAATACATATATCCACAAAATAAAAAGTAAAATCAGAATTGAGGCCAAGCCATTTTTTAATTTTAGAGCTGAAGCAATCTAGACTTGCCAAATCATTCAGAGCGTTGGATTCAATTTATTTTTTTAAGAGTCAGACTAGAGATGTGAATCTCTGTCGAAGCTATGGTCTCGACTCGCATCATACTTCCCCATAGTTTCAAAGAGGTGTTGGTCCATCCCATGTCACTTTCATCGGCACCATTCGAGTCAGATTTTCGGAGGCCCATTTAATATTTCGTCATGAATACACAATGCCATTTGTTCAATATTTCGTCGCCCTATTTTTAAATCGCTGGTCCGTATTTTGACCAAGAATACCGACTTGGATTTGATTTCCTTCGTAATAGATATGTAAACTTGAGAATCCACGTACCTAACAGTAAATACATGTACATCTATATTTGACATTATTTTTTTTCAACAAGACACGTTTTTTTTATCCAGGGTACAAAGGTACCGTTGCGTTCATTCAAACCAGAAATAACACACGGAGAAGTACAGCTGCATTTGTTTTGTAATGTTTAAAAACAGGTTTTTCGGCTTAAGACGCGAAAGAAAAAATAATATGTTAATACAAAACCTACACCAACACCCATTAGCCTGGAGCAAGAGCGTGCCAGCTGCAATTAAGATTTATGCCCTAACCATGTGACACTTTCTTCGAGACAGCTCGTGCGTCACGTGCAGTTAATTATCCCCAGGTGTTAATGACCTATGAAAACATGACGAATATATGTCTTTGCTACAAGCATGTTGCCTCAAGTTACCTGACAGTAAATTAACTTCCTCAATATGCGTGATAAATAGTTGGAATACTTATAATTATTTAATTATTTTATTACTGGATAATACGTCAACGTTGAAAATCGTTAGTAGCGTGTGTCAATTAAAATGTAATACTTTGCATAACGGGGTAATTTTGAGTGATTGTGTTGATTTTTTTCTGTGGCAATTATTCGTGGGGAGATTTTGTAATCGGTTGATGTGTTTTCTTTTACAATTATAATATAACTTCCTGACGAAACATTTGTTTCCAAACTGGAATTATAATAACAATTGATTTATTAACTGTTGATTTAGTCCTCCACTAAGTTCCTTGCGACATCCAAGTATATATTGGATCTTTAATGATAAACTGTAGCGTATCTGAGTTGAAAAAAGAAAATGTCATTTACAAAGGGGCGTAACTCTTCTCGCCTTAATGAAACAATGAATGGCCGAGAAATGGGTTTTATCATTTCGTTCATATTGTGTTAGCATGTTAGCATGTTAGTGTCAGTGTTTAGTGTTAGTGTTAGTGTTAGTGTTAGTGTTAGTGTTAGTGTGTGCGTGTGCATGTACAAGTACAAGGCCTGTTTTCTAGTGCTAGCTGACTGAGATATAATATACTTTCTCGGAGCCGACCAGTCCTTGTTTTACCCCTTTAAATGTCGCACGCCTGGTAGGAGAGCAACAAGTACCATCTTTTAACATCTTTTGGTATGACAGTCGGGGATCGAACAACCGACCTTCCTCTCTCCTGGCAGACGCCCTAGCCACTACACCACGGAGGCGGTCCCCTTGTTAATAATTCATCTGCATGGCTATATATTCTCGTGAGTGAGTGAGGGAGCAGGTTTTAACATATATGCTAACAGTATTACATCTGTATCGCGGGTGATACGCGGAAACTTGGAAAGGTGATATGATTATACGGTGGTACGATGGATACATTGATACGGTGATACGGGTGTATGGTGATATTGTGCAGTGATGAAATAGTGATATGATATGGTGATATTGTGATACAGGGATACTGTAATATGATCTGGTGATACGGTGAAATAGTGATATCAAATGGTG